TGTGAGTGGGAGTTGGCCAGAGCAGGAGCTGCCTGCGGTCCAGCCCCTCCATCCACATCCGTGAGCTGGGATGGGCTCATGGCAGTGGACAGAGCCCCTGGCACGTGTCTGGGCTGCCTTGGCCGAGCGGTGGGTGCCACTCCTGCAGTGCCGCGCTGGGAAGCTGTTCTTTTGCTCTCCTCTGTGAGACTGGGCAGGTGGCTTCAGTCCCAGGCCTTCCAGACAGACTTTTGGCCAGGCTTCCTGCCTGATTCCCACTCCTCAGTCCCTTACAATGCCCGCTGGAGCTGAGGATGCACAATCTCTTAGTCGCCTGATGTGGCTGTGCTTGGGCATGGGAGGGTTCTGATGTGATGCCTGGTCCTGGCAAAAATCCGGGGCCAGGAGCCTGAGCACCTGCACCCAGAATGAGTGGAGGCTTTACTTTCAAGTCTTGTTTTTCCCTCAACTCCCTACCTTGCACGGAGGAGGAACAGSACCCGTTGGATCCATCTGGATTGGTGCAGCCCCGATCGCGCCAGGGAAACCGCCGGCAGCAGCGTCGTTGTGTTGTGGCTCAGGGTAAGATTTGAATAGCAAGGCCCAGGGCTTTGCTTTGACTGCAGAAGGGTAAAACAATATTTAAATAACTAGCAGCCACTGAAAGCAGCGGGGCTCCCATGGGAAAAGAGGGAATTTGTGGACACGCATCGATGATGGTTTTATCATGCGCACATAACCGTGCGGGAAGCGAACGGAGCTGATGGGAGCTGCCTCTGATTTAGTATTTCATAACTTCGGTGGTTCACTCTGAGCCTTTTGGCTGTTAATTATCCTCAGGTGCTTAGAGGAAAATATCCCAGAAAATCCACTCGTAAATCTTATTGATTCTCACCTTGAGTCTTCGGGAGCTTTTAGGTCACCTGCACAAGCTGCCACGGTGAGAATTAGTGTTGCTCCACGGAGCAGCTGCTGGCTGGCATCTCCCTGCGCGTTGGGCACGATGSATGGTCCCCGGCAAGCTCTAGCGCAACATGCTGAGGGCAGAGAAATGGGAGCATGTGGGGCTTGCAGCCCATTTCTCACCCATTCAGCTTCTCCATGGGGATGATGTGTGCTGGGCTGGACCGAGCGTCCTGGAGTCCTCCAGGGATGCTCTGGCCAGCCCAGGACCTGGAGGGCATGCAGGATACTGCGTGCAGATGAACTCCTTTGTGGATCACATCCTTCTGATGAGTCTCTTGATATCGTTTTGGTTTTTTTCTTCCATTTGAAGGTCGGTCCACAGCACTTGTGGAAAAAGAAGTGCAGAATTCCTAGCAGCTGACTAATTTCAAGTTATTTTCAATAAATTTTCAAATTCATCTAAAGCCCAGAGGACTTAAAGCACTAGAAAAATGTTGCTAGAGCATCAGGGGCTAATCCCTGTTTTGTAGAAGTGTCTGAAATATTTTTGTTGCAGTTCCTGAAGGCAGAGAGACAGCACAGAGAGAAGGAAGGAACAGTGTCCATGTGAGATAAATATTCATTATGGAATTTTTCTTTCTCAATGGTCAAATTTTGTCATGTTTTTACAAACACCTGGAAATAGAAATTACTTAGGGGACCTGTTAAGCAACCTTGGGCTGATATATGTAGCAAAATATATGGGGTGGGAGTACTGGTCTAGAGGTATAGCAGCAGATATTGCTTTCTGTAGCCAATGTCATCAAGAACTTGGAAATGGAGATGTTTTCAAAACTTTCCTCGAGCAGACAGGGTTATTTATTGGCTTTAGGGGAGTTCTACAAGAGCTATGACTGCTGGAGGAAAAAGTTCTTGTGTTAGAAGTAGTTTTGACTTATTTTTCCCCTCAATCCATTCATAAAAAACTGCCAAGACTGTGTAACAGGTCTCATATATCTAATTATGAGATATTTACCCTCATTTAAAAWTATCTCACTATTTCATGCCAGAAAAATACATGCAGTGCCCATGTTCTCAATATTACATGTCTGCTTCCCTGTGGATGCAGAAGATGTTTGTATGTGATGCTCGAACTGGGGCTCCATTGAGCTGACACATGTTGGTTTCCAGCCCGTGGCAGGAATGTGGGCTCTGAGYGAGGGCAGGTGAAAAACATACTTGGGAAAGGAAGCATTGTGGTGGGATGTCTCTCCAGAAGAGAGGTGTTGGAGGGTGCTTCTCCAGGAGAAACCTGCAGGAACAGGCGTTTTGTTTTGCGTCTGCACTAAAATAGGTGAAAGTGCCAGTGGTGTGGGGAGCAGAATAAAAGGGTTGGGAGGTTTCTTCTGAGAGATGCTCAAGCTGTTTGTGGTGGCCCTAGCGTGTCACCACGTGTGCCTGCTGTGTCTGCAGGCACTGCTGTCATGGAGCGATGCTGCGTCATGGAGCGACGCCACAAACCCCGGGATGTGGCTTCAGGCTTTGCRCCCAGGGCAGGGCAGCCTGATCCACGCTGACATGCCTGGTTTAGAGATGAAAATCCATAAGAAAGAAGTAGCTGATGTTTCAAAATGTCAATTTTGCTGAAACTGAGAATTYCCAGCTAGATCTTAGTGTTGGAATGGGCAGCGCTGCGACCTGGGAATGGTTCTGCGTGTTTCAGATTCTTGCATGCAGCCGGGTGAAAACCAACAATTCACACCAGTCCAGTGCCACTGAATGTATGGAGTTATTTATTTTTAATATCAGCCTGATCTATTTGGGATGGAAAGGGAATTACTGCAACCTAGGTACTAACAATTTTGTCTGAAACTGTCTCTCATTACAGGTCACTCTTTGGATACACTAATGGGCTGCTCTGTGTGRTTTCTCTAGTACAACTTAAGTCCAGGTGTCCTTTGGAAATATTTTTTCTCTGTAGGTGTCAAAGGGGATCCTGCAATTTGGTCACTTGTGCTGCATTTGCAACTCACTTGGGTGAAGAGCAGATATGACAAATCCCTGGGGCAGGTGGCTTGTTTGAACGCGTTAGTCTGAAGAGCTGCTGTAGAGGAATTTGCATAACCTTGAATGCGTTGTCCCAAACAGCATTCCTGGCCGGCAGAATTCACAGACCAACAACTACTACATAAATAATTCAAAGCATATGACTCAGGATAGGAAGTTTGGGTTGTTCTTGGCGAAATCCCCTTTCTCTTTTTCAAAGCGTGCCTGTTCCTTAGTAATTTGCTCTCCGTGTTTGAAGCCGCATTTGCATCTGTTCAGGAGTAAAGCGATCAGCACTCTTTGGTAGTGAATAGACTGGTCTAGAGGTACCTGGGCAAAATGAGGAGATTCACTTCAAAAGCGCACTCCCAGTACAACCCAACAGTGACGTAGACACAGRCTCTGGGTGACGGGAAGGGAGAGGGGATGAGGAGCACCCACACGTGCTACTGCTGCTAGGGAGCAGTCAGTCCTTGGTATCATGTTGGAGCTAATGTGGGGAAKACGTGTAACCTTGTTCTTGTATCTTCAGCTCTTATCAGACTCTGCTATTTGCTTATGCAGCTGTCATTTTAACATGCTATTGTATTTTATTATATGACRTATTTTATGTTTTCTAGCTGGGCTCAGATCTGGTTTTCTTGCTACTACTAGAAAGAATGAGGATGGAAATATAAATATTTTTAAATGTTAACTATTTACAAAGACATATAACAAGGGAGAAAAATACTACAGATCTGGACACAACCGGGGGTCTTGATACGTCTGGGGTATTGAGACCTTCTTTAATACCAGTCAGTTCGGAAACCGCTATCATAAATGTGTTTGTTTAAAGTGCATTAGTTAAATGGCACAATGCATCACTACTTCTGTTTAAAACCCCAACCAGAGCGGGAGCTGGAGCAGGAGCTTCCCTTGCATCAGCCACCTGTGACTGCAGCTCCAGGGAAGCGCCAGGGCTTGCAAGGCAAGTAGCCAAGGGCAGCGAGGCCATGTGTCCTCTTGGCTGTTGCATAAAGGTTGCACATAACCTTGACGCTTGCTTGGAGACACTTCCCTTTCTTCCCTCCTTGCCCATTAATTTATTTTTATAACGCTGGCGGCCCGGCCTGGCTAGCGGCGGAGGGCGGGCGCGTGGGGCGCAGCGCTCGCCCAGCCCGCGCCTGCCCCGAGCCAGTTGGGCGCTCGCCCATCGCAGGCTCCTTCCCGCTCACGCGGGCGGCAGGGCTGGTCAGGCCAGGCTGGCACGGGCTGGCGCTGGCGCGGGGCGTCCCCAAGGGGCAGAGCGACAGTAAYGCGGAGCTGCGACCCGGGAGCCCTGCCGCATCCAGCTCCTTCCCCAGCTGGAACACGGACCTGGGAGAGGGTGAACATGTGAGCCCAGCTGGCAGGGAAGTGGCCCAAAGTGGGGGAGCTGCACCGTGCAGCTGATGAGGAGCCATCATGATCATCCTGGGCTGATGAGGAGCCTGAGGACCTCCTGGCAAGCAAGGGGTTGAGCTCAAGCAGTCATGGCTTGTGCTATTTTATTTATGTATTTTATCAGTGAGTGATGCAAAGCTTAACTTGGATATCGGAACCTTCCCTTTGGATATTGGGCCAGGCRGCGAGGCCAGTGGCCACCACTTCTAGAGTATCATCAGCTTATAAAAATTTCCTTTTGCCATTTACTGTCCAGATCCTTAAATGTATTTGTGACAGACACTGGTGATCCCTGAGGTGTGTGGTGATGTCCAGTARCACAAGTGTGCTCTGTGATGTGGGAGCAGGTTCCTCAAGAGGGGGAGGAGAAAAAAGAAAAAAAAAATAAGAAAAATTTTTAAAGGCTGGAAGGGGATGAGCCCTCGTGCTTTCTGCTGGTGTAGAACATTTCAGGGCTGGAAACGGGAGCACTACTGGTTGGAGTAAGAACTAGGCAATAAGCTAAGTCTTTGCACATACTCTAGGCTGGATACCAGGGGACACGGGCTGCCAAGATGAGTCCCAGTGGAGGATCCCTAAGAGCTGGCCACTGCTGTTAGACCTTTGATGCTATTGCCCTGTAGAGTGAGAAACTAAACTCATACTTGTCTCTCTCCCTTTATTTTCAGTGTGACAGTCAAGCTGTAACTCCAGCTTTTCCCTCTTTCCATGCACCATCAACTGGGAGCGATGCTGTCAGTGCCTTGTCACGCTGCAGATATCTGAGGGGTTTGTGCTCACTGCAGCAACACCAAACTCCAGGTCCTCTAGGTGAACGTTTCTGGCTAGAGGGGACAGTGTCCTCTCTGTTAAAGAGAGAAGGCCGGTGCAAGGCTTGCTTGGAAAAGATCCTGTGAATTGGACAAGCCTCACTAAGTGATGTCTGCAGTGCACGTTCAGCATTACGCTTTACAGTTCATATCTATATCAGTCATGTATGTGTGCATATACATGGGACAATTGCTGAGGACATTAGTGACAGCTACGAGTGACGTTCCATCAACTAGAGATTAATCAACTATTTAAACACGCTCAAATAAAAGTATGCAGGCTTTGTTGGGTTGAAAAAGCTACTCCTTTAACCTCTTTCCATTAAATACGTTGCATTCCCCAAACATCTTTGTAGTCGTCCTCAGCACTTGATCTGTTTTGTCATCCCCGAATGCGGGTGACCACAATTACATGTGCTGCTCCAGAGGAAGGCTCATCAGCGCTTGGTCTAATGGGATGGAGCTTTTCAGGTGCCTTCTGGCTCAACCTCACCTTTGTCATGGTTTTGGCCATGGGCTGGACTCACCCTATGACCCATCTCTTCCTATGTAACTTTAGGAACTTTCTTTCCTTTGAATTTTTGACCTTCTGAGCCGACAGCCATTGTCACAAGATTCGTTTCCTCAGCCATCTCCTGGAGATGAAGCTTCCTGATGCAAGGTCTTCCCGAGGAGCTGGCACAAAACCAGACCAGGCACAAAACCAGGAGAGTTTGCCCATTCCTGGGCTCACGGGAASCAGCTTGTCGGTTCCTGTGTTATTGCACTTGAAATGCCAAGGCCTCATGGCCCGTGGTCGGGCGAGAGGACAYGATTCCTGGTTGTGCTTCCAGGAACCTTTCTGAGATTGTGATCCCAATCTGGATCTGCTGCCAGGCTTGGAATGCACTCGCAACCCGACTGCGGTGTAGCCCCTCTGTGGCTATTGGGGGGAAACTGTCCCCATCCGTGCAGCCCCAAACTGCCCTCCCTGTCCCTTTGCTGCCAGCTGCACCAAGGCTCCTCAGCACCCGCTGCTGAGGGGACCAAAAGTGCTGGCTTTCACCCCATTTACGAGCCAGGCAACACKGCCACGTGCGCAGGGCTGGCTCCCTCCCTCTCCTCTTTCCCAGACCTCGGGTGTCCCCCGGACGGTGCCGAAGCCCCGGACGGTGCCGATCCCCCGGCACTGCCCTCAGCGCCCGCCGGGGCCGCGCGCAGCGAGGGGGCAGCGGCGGCGGCCCCTTTAAGCGCCCCCC